CGTGCGGCTGGTCAGGGGCTTGATTATATTAATTTTGTACCTGCCGGCACGTGCAATACACCGACAACAGGTTCTGTGACTGGGGTGATATCTCCTGTATGTGCCATTGGCTTGACCGCCACCGGCAACGGGTAGTGCCGAGCATGCATTGGGATGGTAGTTTGTATTTCCTGTCGGACTGGCAAGTACAGCACTCCATGCACCGGAGGGCACTGGCTGTATGTCCTGCAACGCCGCACTGACGACACATGCTGTGTGAGCGATACAAGCAACAGGTGCTGACGTTCAGAATTTCGTGTACTTCCCAAGGTTTCAGGATTTCAGGAACATGTTCCAAAAAGTAACACTGGACAAAGTGGATGATATGCTCAGCCGAAACGACACAACTGCAGATATTGTTGGGCAATGGGCGAAAGCTGACACCACGCGCTGCCGGGCTGACTCTTTTACCAGAGGTGCTGCAGGGCAGACATTGACACCAAGGGTGCTACAGAACAGACACTGACACCAGGCGCTGCCGGGATGACACTGGTACTAGGGGTGCTGCGAGGACGACACTGCCACTGGGGGTTCTGCCGGGTCGACTCTGACTCCAGGGGTGCTGCAGGGCAGACACTGACTGACACCAGGGGTGCTGTCGGACTGACACTGACACCAGGTCGTGCCAGGCCGCCTAGGTCACTCTGTCTCGGCCTGCCGTAGGCCATAGGCGATTCAGGCGATCCGGTACTCTCATCCTCGTCGCCGTTTGTGGGAGTCAGCTACTGTGCACTGCAGATGGTCAGCGTCCGGTGAGCCAGCGGCTGGCCAACAGGCTGGTTAAACGTGCGCTCTGAAGAGGGGCGAGGAGACGCTGAGGTGTCACTGGTGCTAACGTGGGACTGAACACTGGACAGCTGGTCTTGTTATTCGCTCCTGAAGGAGACGGCTGCTAACTGTCTACCAAGGGTTTCGGAGACGTTGATAAGGTCATGCCAGCCATGATAGCACTGCTTTCGCTGGCCCGGCACGCATGCGCAACAATACGCAGACGGTGTTCGGTGCCGGTCTCGCACCGGACAGTTTGACAGCTGTCTGGCGATTGACGACGCCCAGACCCATCGCAGCTGCTGGTGCTGGCCGCCTGACAGTGACGGGCGGTCAGTAGCGGCCGGCCAGGGATGATCGGCCAGTGACGACCAAGTAGCAATGGGCGGTCAGTGACGGCCGGCCAGTGATGACCAATCGATGACGGCCAGCCAGCGATGTCCGGCCAGCGACAACCGGTCAGTGACAGTCAGTCGTGACCACCAATTAATGACGGTCGGCCAGTGACGGCCGGCCCCTGACATTCGACTCTGAGTCGGGCGGCATGTGGCGGCGGCCGCGACCGGCCAGCTGTGTAATGCTCGTCTGGCGCAGGTGCTGGCTGAGTCAGCCGCGCCCCCGGCCGCCGACCCTCCACACCGGCCGGTCACGGTCCCGGCCGCAATCCCTGATCGGCCTTCACCCAGAGACGGCGGCCCGGCGCCGCCCCAGACGAACGGGCAGACGCCGAGGCCGGCCCAGCCCGCCGCGGCGCTCGGACGGCCGCGGAAACAGTCGGCCGCCCGCCGCCGGGATAACACCCCGCGCCAGAACCGCATCGCCGTCTAAATGCGTCTTCGGTGGAGCCTGAAATAGCTGCACTTAGCGTCAATCGGACGGCCGTGGCGCGCCCGGAAAAACACCCGCCCGGCCGGGCTCTACTGGCCTGGCGCCGCGATCGCCCGTCACAGGACGTCACGGCGCGTCACGGCACGTAGGAATGCTGCTCATCGATTGGTGGCCGAGTTTGTCGCCGCAGGTCACGCGGGGTCCCACGGACTCGTGACCGCAGGTCGGGCGAGACGGTTATGTGGGGAGGGGGCGGGGATTCATGCAGCCGCGCACCCGAGCGAGGGCGCAGTGTTGGTCTTGGCTGGTCCCCACCTGAATGTCTGCTTTGTGGCGGGCCACGTGATGCAATATCGAAGATTGTAGCGGTGGCGGCCACCAGCGCTCCGGATGGCGCCGTTGTCGGCCCTCGGCGCCGCTCGCCGCCCTGCACCGTGGGGTTGGCTGTGCACTGCACAGCTCTGCACTGCACTGTGTGCAGTGTGCAACTGCACATGGCGAGGTGGCCGGCCAGCCGGCCCGCGGGCACGGCCGGCGGTACGGTACGCCCAGGAGGTGAGCCGCTCGACGACCGGTGACAAGCCGGGACACTCGATCACTCCTGACTCAGTGAGCCCGCCGCCCTGTCAGAGAGAGAGAGAGAGAGAGAGAGAGAGAGAGAGAGAGAGAGAGAGAGAGAGAAGAGAGAGAGAGAGAAGAGAGAGAGAGAGGAGGAATAAGAGAGAGAGAGAGGAGGGAAGAGGAGAGAGAGAGAGAGAGAGGAGAGAGAGGGAAGGAGAGGGAGAGGGAGAGGAAGGGAGAGGGAGAGGAGAGGGGAGAGGGAGAGGGAGAGGAGGGGAGGGAGAGAAAGAGAAGGGAGAGAGAGAGAGAGAGAGAGAGAGAGGAGACCGCAGTATCGGGACTGGCGGCTGCGCTCCGCCCCCTGTCGCCGTTGGAGATGCGGAGTGGTGCCTACGCCTCTGTTAATCGCGTCATCTGTCATCTGGAAGGGCTTCGACGGGCATATACTGTCGATACTGGGACGGAAATGCAGCGAGCGGGCGTTGCTAGACGAGTGCATGCACATGATGTGTGCTAGTAACGGTTTTCGTAGGACCTCGGCCCATATAAGGCGTGCGGCCCTCTGCAGGCGTGGCACGGGACGGCGCGTCAGCTGTAAACAGGCCAGTCATCGGAAGCGGCGCCGGCGGCTGCGCTGTATCCGCGCTTCCGCTGGGTGTGCGGTGCGCACCCCGCGAGACACGGAAGCGGCGCCGGCGGCTGCGCTGTATCCGCGCTTCCGCTGGGTGTGCGGTGCGCACCCCGCGAGACACGGCCGCGCGCCGCTCGCTGTGTGGCGGCCCCCTTGCTTGGGAGACTGCGATGCTGGCGCGCGTGACGTTATGCTGGCGGCGCGCCGCGCGGATGCCGCGATCGCTCACGTGCGTTCGTGTAGTCGAGCTGGTCGTCTCTACTACAATCAAATCTCGAGTTTGCCGACAGCCTGCTCCGCCTGCAGAGTAAAGCGGCTTTGTTCCGACTAATACCATTGTCGTGTTGACTGCAGTGGCCAAGATGTCTGTTGTTTGGATTTGCTGTTGTTTTTTGCTGGTATATGGTGAACGTTCTTCTCCTGTTCTCCCTTTTTCGCTTTGATACTGCATATTGTATGCTGTACGTAACAGCTTGCATGTTGTACGTCATTGCGTTGCAATCCAGAACACCACGTGCCCAAGAAAATGGCCTGTGAAGTCCGAGGTTGAGCCGGCGCCGTTCCGCTGGACGCCAAAGCTGAAATGCGGTGAAGCCAGATGTCCGCTGTCATTGGCGCCCTGCTGTCCGTTGCGCAGGCCTTCGATATCACCGCGGCCTTTCCTGTCGATTGCTGTTGCCTTAGGTCGCGCGCGCGGCTGGTTTTCTGCCTCCAGCGCGTGTGAGGATGTCTTATTTGCCCAGGTTCGCTCGAACTCGGCCAGAGCTGCATCGATTTTCCATCTGCGTGTCGACAGCTCTCAGTTTGGGAGTGGCGCTGATGGGAATCACTAGCAAGTGTTGGGATACAAGAACCACCTCAATGTGATGGCAAAACCACTTTGAAAAGAGTGTAGCACATCGACACGTGCATTGAAAGGTTAGCCAGTCGTGGCCCTAAGCGACCCCTGATGCTATCTTGTTTATACAGCGGAGATAAGTAATACCCACTCGCCATGGCTGATACGAACAGGGTGAAATAATAATGAGCGTGAATAAAAACTTCCGGCGTGATTTCAGCAACATGCATGACCTGGCGGATTCACCTGTGCATAATTATTGCGTGATTTTGATCTGTGCACCTGGCCAACGCTTAAGCCAATGTACCCTTTTGTCGGAGAACGCTGGATCAAATTATCCGGATGTACCACGAGCATACAATTTCCGCGCATCACCTAGCTTTTAATGCCTTCGTAATGGCCGATTGGTCATCTCATTCATGCTATTGGCACATAACAGGATTTCACCCTGATTGCTAACCTGGAGCTTGCCGTCAGAATTACTGGCGGAGAGTGTCGGCTCATAGGGCAGCAACGTCGTACGATGATCTCTTGCATTTTGAATTTGAACTTCGTAGATAATCGCGAAAGCATGCTGTGAGGACGCCTCACAGTGAAATCTTTTGGCGAATTAAGACATACGTATCGGCCAGGGGACCTGTGCCCAGTAGATGTGCCAGCGCCCAACATACTTGTTTATGCCCATTGAATGGCATGATCGGCTAGGAAGTGTGCTTAATCCAGCGGCAGCGTTTGACACTGCTGTCAGTAAACACGTCGGTGATGTAAGCTGTTTGCTGTCGCCACTGACGGCTGGAAGCGCCGGGCGCCGGCGCGGCAGTCCCGGCGCGTCACTCGGCGCCTCCTCGCCGCCGCCGCTGGCGTGCATACCGTGCACGTAGCTCGTGCACTCTGTCAGCGCGTATTTCACGACCAGGCCGCGTGCAGCCACGGTTGTTGAAGCCGCGCTGCCGGCATGCTCGGCGCCGGTGCCGGCCCGAGCTGAAGTGATGGGTTTATATGGCCGCGTGCCGGCGGCGATAAGCCCCCCCCCCCCCCCGCCCGCCGACCGGCTGGGCGATGGCACCGCCTGATGATAGTGGTTCAGCCTTGAGTGCCGGCGATGCGGGGACGCGTGACGTCGCCGTGGGACCCCGGCGGCTGCTGATGTGGTGACGAGGAATGACGGCGCCGACGGTGACGTGGCTGGGGTGCGAGATTCGACAATGACGTACGCGATATGGCGGTCAGTGCGCTCGGCCCGCACTGGGGGATACTGTGACCACCAGTGCTCCCCGCCCTGTTCCAGCGAGTACCTCTCGTACGGGGCGACCTGACCGTGCCGCTCCGTTCCAGTGGAGGTGACCCCGTGCCCCGGTGTGACCTGTGCGCCGTCGGTGACCTCGTGCCCGGCGGACTCGGTGCTGAAGAGCGTGCAGTCGGCGCCGGCCGGCTGCTGCCCGCCGGCCACCGAGTGTGTCTGCGACCTGGAAGGGTGTCCGCTGCCGCCCGTCTGCCCCGAGGGCCTGCCCACGGTGACGGTGCCTGGCAGCAGGACGCCCGGCCACTGCTGCAGCCAGTGGACGTGTCAGGTCAACACCGGTAAGTCGACTCCGGCCCGGCCACGTCGCAGTTCACCAGTCCGGGTGAACACTGTTGGTCAGCGCTGTCTGTCTAATACCAGATGCATGTGGCGCATGGTGTGTGTTTACAGTGTATCCATGACCACTGTGTTACGAGTGCGCCTTCATCTCTTCGCTGACATAGGCCGCAGAGCCTCACCACCCCACCCCTCCCGGTCAGTCTGCCCTAACCCGTCGGGCCAGGTGTGCCTCCCCGCTGCCGCGCCGCTTCCTGCGCCACTAACGCCGCCACGCGCGCCGGACAGACCCCTGCGTCAACGTGACGTGCCCGCCGGCGGCGGCCGCCTGTCCGTCGGACAGCTACCTGGTGCCGGCGGTCGGCGGCGCGGCGGCCTGCTGTCCGCTGGCGTGCCAGTGCCTGCCAGACCAGTGCCGGCCGCCCGCCTGCCCGCCCGGCGCCCAGCTCAAGCTGCTGGTCAACGGCACGGGTCGGCCCGGAGCCTGCTGCCCCGTGTACCAGTGCGGTCAGTACTCCGCCTCGCCCGGCGGCCCCGCGCACTCGCTGCTGTTGTGCCGCCAGTTGGACCGTGTTCTCTGGCTGTGTTTCTGGCGTGAGTAGATATTGTTTTGTGCTAAGAATAATACATGTCGAGTTCTTAGAGTTAGTTGTTCCCAGTATGAACTGTTTCAAGCTGTGCTCAGCACCTGTGCCTATGTGGCCCAGCACATTTACTCATTACCTGTGCTCACCTATGTATATTGTCCCTGTAAGTCGGCAGCTGGAGAGCTGTGCAGTACACCTTACCACTGGAGTAGTAGACTAGGGTCGCAGCCCAGACACGACGCGTAATGATTTGCTCATCAAAGCCAGTCAACTGGCAGCTGGACATGAGAGGATCAGACTGACGCGGAGCGGACGTGGTGTAGCACCACGTGAGGTTACGTGGTGATGTATACGTCTTCTCACATGTCCCTCGGATCCCAAGTCCACCTCTACCACACGTCCGGGTAGTTTTCTTAAAAAGATATATGAACACTATAAAATAGTAAGGTACAACTCAAAGCTTTCTTTATGGCAAGGATGGACATTGCGTCTTTCCTGCGAACAATATGCGCGTTACCAGCTACTAAGCATGCTTGTTTTCATCTAAATTACCCGAAAGACGCCCTGCACGGTGTACTCAAGCACCTAGACCGAACCGCCCCTAGGGAGGAACCAAATGTCAAATAGGTCTAGATTCCAATTGTTTTCCTATGAAACTGCTTCACAGCTAGCGCAGAGCGCTTCTCTCGATAAAGAAACATGCCCCCTGTGGCGACCTTTTGGCTATGTCCCTGACTGTACTGTCACGCTGCCCCCCCCCCCCTTCAGATGTCTCTGTGAGTTCACGCGCATCGGTCGCAACATTTGGCCACCCCCAGCACGTATTTCACCACTCCCCGTCCGAAGCAGGCATCCACTTCCGGCGCACGTGCTGTCCGGACGCGTGCGAATTGTGACGTCACGTGTGACGTCATGCCGCCGGCAGACGAGGAGCCGACGTGTACTGACGGCGGCAGGACGTACAGCGCCGGCGACACCTGGAAGGCCGGCAAGTGCAAGACCTGCCACTGCAAGGACGCGCTCATCTTCTGCAACAAGACCGAGTGCCCGCCGCTGACCGGCTGCAGTCAGATCACGCACGACCCGGACCAGTGCTGCCCCCGCTGCGTCGGTGAGCCGCGTCCACCGCTCGCCGGACCTCAGCGGCGGTTCAGTTGCCGGGATCCAGTCCGATTCAAGACGATCGTTTTGTTAGTTTGAATCCAACGTGCACACAAATCAGTGGTTGCTTATGCAAATCCGATGTGCCAACACACACATTATCATCATAATCCATATCAGGCGATTACAATCCAACCAGGTTTGCATACAATGTGAAAGATAGCACATATGAACCCAGTGACGACCCTTGACGTCAAGCCAGTCGATCTGTTCGATTCCATCGATCGGTTTGATTCCATTTGGGATGACCAATTCGTTAATGCAATCTTATCCAAATCGGCAACCTCCCGGAGTCAGTATCAGTTGAGTCAGAGAGTCCAGCGCAATCTACAAATTTATCCTAAATCTACCAGTTTGTCCAGCCAGTGAACAGCCCTTTAGTCCATGACATGTAAAGTATGCGCCATTAGCTGCCATTCAACGTCGAGCAGGCTTGTGTACCCGAGCTATTTTTAGCGCGATATGAGCGACCATCCCTGCAGACTTCTGAGAAACGTCCATCATCGTG